ATAATCCTAAGGCTTCCCCTCTCCATCTGCTAAAAAGTCAAGCTGAAAGTATTATCATTCTCAACTTCAAAGCATACTATGAATCTATAGTAATTAAAGCAGCATGTACTAGCATTAAAAAATGACACATAGAACAACAATGGGGCAGAACAGAGCACAGAAATTCATTCATGTACATACAACCAATTCGTGTTGGCAAAACTAAATGTGTAAATGCAGAAAGAAATTTGATCCCATTATTTCACTGCACACAAAAATCAACTCAAGATGGATCAAAGGCCTAAATGTAAGAACTGGGATTTTGAAGTTGTTGTTAGAAAATGTGGCAGAAACACTTCTGTGTTAATTATTGGTTGAAATCTAATGCACAGGTAGCAAAGGAAAAACTAGACTAACAGTATCATATCAAACTCAGAAGCTGCTGCACAGCAAAGGAAACAATCAAGAGAGTGAAAGACAGCCAAGAGAATGGGGAAAATATTTCCAAGGGGTTTGGCTGACAAAGATTGAATAGCCACAATGTATCAGCCACTCAAGAAAAACTTAAAAACAAACACCTCTCCCCCCAGCAATCTAGTTAGAAATGGGAAAAACACTTCAAAACACATTTCTCAAAAGAAATACAAATGGACAAAAATGTATATTTGTATCACATATTGTGATATAGTGAGACACATACACATATATCAATATATATCACTAGTTATTAAGAAAATGCAAAGCAAAACCACAATGAGAGGGGCTGACACGGTGGCGTATTACACTAATCCTCTGCCTGCAGTGCTAGCATCCCATAGACACTGATTCATACCCCAGCTGCTCTATTTTTAACCTAGCTCCCTGTTTACGCCCTGGGAAAGCAAGCAGACAATGGCCCAGCTCTTTGGCCCTATAGTCTTGTTGGAGACCCAGCAAGAACCTCTTGGTTTCTGGATGCATCAGCTCAGCTCCTGCCATGGTGGCATTTGGAGAGTGAACTAGCAGATGAAAGATCTCTCTCTCCACTCTCTATGTAAAATATGCTTTTCAAAGAAAAATAAATGAATCTTAAAACACACACACACACACACAATGAGACATTACCTTGTAATGTCTGCTAACCAAATGAGAGCAAAAAATGCTGACAAGGATACAGAGAAAGGGGAACTCTTACACACTGCTGGTGGCAATGTAAATTAGTGCTACCATTGTGGAAAACAGCATGATAAATAGACGTGCCATAGATGTTTCATGATCCACCAATCTCTCCACTGGGTATATACCCAGAAGACAAACACGTTCTATCAGAGATACCTATGCAACCATATTTATGGCAGTACTGCTCAATAGCTAAAATATGGTGTTCGTCAATAGCTGAATGAACAAAGAAAAATTAGTAATATTACTCAGCTGTAAAAACACAATGAAATCGTATCATTTGCATCTAAATGGTTGCAGCTACAGGACACTTCACTGTATGGGTAAAATAAGCAAGAGACACAAAGACGTATATTGTATGTCCTCCTCTATATCTGAGAGTTGATTTTAAAAAGAGTAAGACAAAAACAAATGCTGCTTCTATAAATGTAATATTGTGTCAGACTTTAAAACTTTGCCATGAATCTTTCAAATTGCTATGGAAAAAAATCAAAATAACAAATTTTACATTTAAAAATCATAATATTCTAAAAATTCATTCTTAGTAAATACTTCAGATCAATGCAAAAAGCACACCGTATATCCTAATTAGGACACATTTAATAACACTTTTAGTATTACTCCCAATACATTCTGAAATAAATATTTTACTACTTCATGCACTAATGGGACCCGCTGAACACCAGCATCACCTAGGTGCTAACACAGCAGCCAGTGGCCAGGTGTTCTTATTCCCTGTGCTTGTCCTAATTTCTCTGGACAACAGAGAAGCAACTGAAAGATGCCGACACGAGATCTCAAGCACAGCCCTGCGGTATTTCCAACTCCTCTTTTCTTCTTGAACCATTTTGTGCCTCACTGGAAGATGTAACACTCACAGCAGCCAATGCCAGATCTCTACCTGGCTAAACGCCCCCTCTGTTCTCTTTACAGAGATCTTCTTTCTTTTTATAAATAACATGAAGATTCTAATGCCTTTGGAATATCTAAAGCTTTTCCACATGACTATGTTTTCATCATTGAAAATCAGGAAATATTTCTTCCCTGGAGGCTCCACTGGGACTGTTGAAGACATTGCTGAAGGGAAAATAAGACCTCTGGGGTACAGACACTGCCAGCACTGAAAACACTCATAAAAATATGCATTTCCAGAACTTCCCTTTTAGTCAAAGTTGCTAGGATTTGAGATCATTTTCAATGAAATGCCAAAAAAGGAGGTTTGTTATCAAACATCCAAATTACTTTGCTATATTCATCATTAACATAATTATACTATCTTTCTTACAGTTGTGGCTGTACTTACCCATAAGTCTAGTTACTCATAATGGAAGTTACATAATGGATCTGTTATTTGCAAATTTTTTATTTAAAAATTCATTTGTCTGCAAATCAGCAACAGACTTTGGACTTTGAATCTTCAGTGATAACTATAGAATCAGTTGTATCAGGAAGGTGATGTTACTTCACTTAAAATCTCTCAAGTGTGAGTGGCTGATTTGTTAGAATGGGTGGGGAGCATGAATGGGTAGAGGTCCATAGGAAGCTAGATGAAACCCAGGAAACTTCATTTTTTTATTCCTCTTATTTTAAAAGTAATGAGAGTAGGATAAGTAAGTGAGATCTTTCATTTTCTGTCTCACCACTCAAATGCCTGCAACAGCTGAGGCTGGAGCAGACAGAAGCCATGAGCGAGGAACTCAGCCTGGATCTCCTGTGGGAATTTCATGAGCATTGCCTGCTCTCTCTCAGGATGTGCTTTAGTAGGAAACTGAATTAGAAGTAGAGCCAGGATTCAAACCCAAGCTTTTCAAGATGTGATTGAAGGAGTCCCAGGCAACATCTTAACCAAACACCTTCTCCTGGAGACCCCATAATCTTAGGCCCATGTAGAGAAGGAGATGGTCGCAGGGCTCCCTCAAAGCTGCTCTGTCTTCTCTGCTTTTACAAATAAAAGATCTGCTGTCCAGAAGACACAGAAGGCCAGTACACTGTCCTAGGACTGGCATAAAGACCAAGGTGCTGAGAATCAAGAACTATCAGCATTTTCTGAAGAGTATTGATTCTGGCAGACTGAGTTCCTGGATAGATTTAGATGGAAAATACAAGTATACAGATCTGAGCACAGGACCTGGGGAGAATAGAATTGCCTTGCCTAAGAAAGCATTCCTCCTACATTGCAGGTCTTGACAGAAGTCATGATAAGGAAGAAAGATTAATGTCCCCAGTGATCCAAACTGCTGTGCACCTCCCAACCACCCACAGTCCATCAGTAGATGAGAACATCCTGGCTGGGTGTGAGTCATCAGTGGGAACACAGGAAGGATGTGGCCTCTGTTCCAGGTTTGCTTCAGAGGGAGCATTTGGCAGGTGTAAAGGGGTTGGGGATTCAGGAGATTACAACAAAGCAGGTCTCTGAGAATAGGCAGAAATTTTGAGCAAGTATTGAACTTCTACAGTTTATAGGATTGGGGATTGAGGATAAGTTTACAAACAGGAAGTCCTTTAGTCTTCAGCCAGACTCTCTAGTTTCTGGCATAATTAAAAATAAATTATAGGATTTTTGATTCCTGCTCTTTCACAATGCATTGCTGTCATTGCTATTCTTCCATATGTAAAAGATGCCCTGATTACCAAACTTTCACCTTGAAATACCCCAGAAGCCAAAATTCAGAAGCAAGCAGATATCAAACAGGATCAACTCTGGATTCTCCCAGCCCCTTTCTTCACCACTATCACTCAGTCTTTCATTTTTTTTAAACAGCACCAATTACAAGTATTCAAAAAACACTGTTCATCTATCAGATACAGATTAAATGTGCCCTTAAACCTAGAAAACAAATGTAAATTCCAGCCTGGGTGTTCAAAGACAGAAGCAATGTTAAAGTGCCAAAAAGGCCCAACATCCCACCCACCACAGGCTATGGATTCCTCCGCAAACCCCTTTGATTTCAGGCATCCTTAAAGCACTGATCCTAAGTGGGATGACTGTACTATAAGACTCCCTTTCTAGAAGGAAAATTCCCTGGAGGCTTAAGGGCTGTGCCCATCTTGCAATTCTCAATGATGTTCGAATTTGTGACTTGTTAAGTAAAGCAAGTGCTGGAAAACTGAAGTCTGCTGACCCAAATGCTCCTGCCTCTGCAGCCTCTGCAGTGCCGATGACCCATGCTCAGTAATCACTTGTCTTAGCCAGGATGAGGACTGAGCTCAAATAGGGTAAGATAGGACCCATGTTTGTGCATCGAGTTAGGAGTGAGGTGTCTTTGCACCTGAATGAGCCAGGCATTAAAAAGCAAATAAAAAGATATCATGACAAGTCAAGAAGTGGTGCTCACTTTTTAAATAAGTGACCTCACCTTTTCATTTAATCCTGGGCCCTACAAATCACATAGCTAGCACTGACCTTGTTTAGTCCTTACTGATATTCTTAATCCAACATTATTTTAGATTCTTAACTTAATGACAACATACAAGTACGTAAGTGTGATTTGATAAATTATTTGATAATACCAAGAGAGACAAATTTAATGTTTTGTAATTATTCTTACTAGAAGGTATTATTAACAATGCAACATTGAGATCTGCTGTTGTGACTTGACAACCTAACGCATGCATTGGAAAACGACAAAATTTTTTCACATTGAGATAGCTAGCAAAAAATTATTTCTTGACAGTGAAAATATTATCACTCCATATTTTCTACTACCTTACAGATATTTTTAAAACATCTTACTATCTCTCAGTGATGCTGATAAATAACTGCGTTTAATAACTGTAGCAGTTATCCATTATCTCTCTGGCACTGTGTGAAAATGGCACGTGTCAGTGTAAGCAGCAGAATCAGAAGTGTATTAATATCTCACCTTAAGTTTTGCCAAGAGAAGTTCATGGTCATGAAGAAGTTTTTTGGTTTCATCTTGATTGCTACCAATTTCTAGAAGATTGGGCTGTGATTCAACCAGTTGAAGTTGTACCAATTTGCCACACTAAAAATCAAAATAAAATGTATTTTTAGTTCCTCTTATTTTTTTTTCTCTTTGCCCTCCTCCTTTCATAAGTAGTAATGGACCCTAGTTAAATAGAAATATAATTCTAGGCCTCAGTTTTTACTTTTTATTCTTAGGTTAAATTCTTCCCTCTTGGTATGTTGGATTTCAATTTAAAAATTCCCCAAGGAGGAACACATACAGTCAATCATGTATTTTTGAAGCTGACAAAGTTACAGATTAATTCAGACAACTGTACCCTTTCTCACTTGCAAAACCATTCACTCCAGAGAAACAGTGAGTCTCCATAGAGGCAGGTAGGATGCAGAGCTTTCCTCTAGGAAAGAGTTTTTGTAATCATCTTTTGGCTGTTTGTTGTTATTTATCTGCCTTGCTGGTTTAAAGATGAATTAATTTAAAACAAAAATCTCAAGATTTTATATCATATAGATTTTTATGTTATTTCAAAGGAAAAATAAAGTATTTTTTAATCTGTATTTCCAGGTAGTGTACAAAAAAGTATATGATAATATTGATAAAATGAGATGTGTGTTTCAACTACCATTTGAAGGCAGTCTACTTGTTTCTGCTTCAAGACCTAACATCTCATCATATTTCCGGGAGAACTGCCTGTCTTTAAAAAAAATCCCCAAATGAGGAATTACTAGCCAACAACAAAAGGAACCCTTAACAAGTACACATTCATAAAAAATAACAAGTACATGTACATAGATGTACAAATCACCAAATAGAAATTAGAGAAGCGTGTTTCCATCCAGACTGTAACCAACAGCCTCAAAGGGACTGCAAACAAGTAGTCACTACAAAGCCAACACAAGCACTTAAATCCATTCAAGTGGACTTTGTACCCTGAAGAGCTGGGGTTGTTTTATAAGGAGGGACAGGAAAAAAAAAAAAAAAAAGGAGCTGGGCAGGGAGCAGTGAAGGGCCGTCAGAGTAGCACAAGTTCAAAATGAGTGTCCAGTGTCGCTTAGAGGTAGTTATTGTCTTACATCTAATCTGCTGCTGATCCTCCTGTAATTTATTCCCTAAGCACTGGTCCTCATCCTGCTTTAAGGATGTTCAGAAACAGCAAAGTTAATATAGTTGGCCTTTCTGCCCCCACCACTGAAATCTAAACCCGCAGTTCCTCAAAACATCATTATACCCACGCACACTCCTGATACATCTGCTCCAGGCTTTTCACCTCCACCTCTTCCTTTGGAAAAGAGAAAAGAGAGGCAGCAGAGGTCCTGAGGCCACTCTCCAAGGCCAGGTCTCTCTTGCATTTTTCACTTCTTTAGTGAATCATCTTGTTTATGTCAAGTTTTATTTTCCTGTTAAGAATTTCCCCCCATTACTAAAAAAAGCCCTGCAATTACATAAAGTTACACAGGACTTGTCATCCACCGTCTAACAAAAGGTCAGAAAGGCCATTCAATTAAGCATGGTGAGGTCCTGGAAGTAACTGATGAATACCAATTTGCCACATGCCCCTTCTTCCAACCCTGATGTCTTCAGTTGGTGCATTGTTTAAACCCTACGCATGCAGCTTGTCAGGTTTGTGCAGGGCAATTTTACACGGAATAAAATCATCCATGACACCCTTAACTGAAAGAAGTTTGGTTATACCTGCAAGTGGGAAAAGTGCTTGGCAGAAAACCTACAGTAAGCATGAGCCTCCAGTGGCTTAAACTCCCTGCTGAGAGAAAATTTGACAAAGTCCCTTTCTTGTTTCCCTGGGGAAGGGGAACATTAGGGGAGTGGGGTCTTCATTGCCTTAAGGATGTGACAAGATTTAGCAATGCCTTTACCCTGTCAAACACCAGTGCTGCATGGGCCACAAGTCCCAGCCTCTTTCTAGGCGTTTCCTGCCTCCATCATGCCCAAGCTGTGCCAACCCCTAACCTCCGGGACCTGCCCCTGCCCAGCTCCATCACTTGACCTATCAGAAATCCCAAATACTTGCATGGACCTGCTGAGGTCTTCAGCCAACAGTCAGGAACCTCAACACACAGAAGACTTTGCCTCTCAAGACCAAACTAAAGTGTACGGAAGGGCTTTGCATTCTTTCTTTTCTTTGCAAACATACTGCTGCAGATGATTTCTGCATCACTTGAAAGGAAACGGAAACTCTGCTAGCCGGCTGAACTTCAGTGGAGTTTTCTCTTAATTGTTGATTCAACAGACAAGTGCCCACTATGCTATCTTTTACATGCTGTGTCCTGCTGAGTGGGTAAGTTGCCAATACATTACAAAAAGTCCACAGCGAGGCAGAACAAAGAAAGCTGCTTACCTTTAAGACAGCAATCACAATTTTGGAGTCTCCAGCTTGCACAGCCACGGAACTGGCGGTCGTTGTTGAAAACTCCATACTGGGACTTCCTTGGCTGGACCGGGTGCCCGAGAGCTGGAGATCAGACCTTAGGCAGGCGCTGCACAGGCTTGCATCTGCTGGTCATCGCAGAAGGCAAGCACCAGGGTTACTTGAATTCATTCAGGGAAGGAGCTCAGCTCGCACTGACGAACTCTGCCAAAAGGAAAGAACAGGAGGTTAAAAATAGACAACCCCATTGAGTTTATCATGAGAGAGAGACGGAGAGGGAGAGAGAGGACCGAGCTGGAGAGAAGCGCCACACCCCTAGTATGGTAACACTAAGTGCCTGTTATTTTTCCCATTATCTTAAATGTAAAGGACAGCTCTGAGCTCTTTGCCTATCAGCTGATGTTTGAGAGCAAATGGAAAAAAATCTCACATCCTGACAACTCAAATTAGTTTTGCCATTGAAACTAAACAGCTGTAACTATGGACTTTGAAACCAGCAAGTCATTGACCTGGATATCAATCTTTTCAAGATTTTTCAAGTTTCCCTTATGCAAAGAAAACCTCCCAGGATGTACTTTTTAGAGAAGTCCTGGCAGTTGTTCTGAAGTTTGGTTGTAAAGTTCCCAGTAATTTGCTCTTTTACAGGGTACTGTCCTTAACTGGATGGAGTTCACATGGAATGCTCACATTTTCCTACGCTCAACTTTCTTAGGGACACTTCAGAAATGTTTCAACCAACATCTATCAGTATACATCTGTTATTTCAGGATTTCTTTGTGACAATTCTACTCTATTAAGCAGCATGTTTAATCATTGAAACGATCAGAAAATAACATTTTTCCTGACAATTCTTATCCGCAATAAGAACACAAAATTTGTCTGACTATAGATTTGTGCTCTTTATTTGCACAATTTAATTTTTAAAAGAATAGCACTGCACCTCAGGCTTTGCTTTTCTTTCCATCTTCATGTCCCTATACAGGAAAATCACAGCCAACTTCCAATCAGAACCCAAGATTAGTAGATTAATCCTATTGCTCGAAATCCAGTATGTGTCACAAGTTGTCTGTGGTATTAAACAGCAGCTGTTGAATTCCCTGTCAAAGAACAGCTGAAAATAACACTGGGCTGGGTCGAAGGTCAAATGCAAACACATCAGGGAGATGAGCTCCAAAGCTGCTGCTGGAACCTTCAGCAAGCTCTGGGACAAAGCCAGAAATGAGAATCACACAGCAATGAATATAGTTAAATGGACCCACTGGCTTTCTGCACATTTTAGCTCAATTTCAAAACATGTTCAAGCTGAGATCCAATGTTTAGAAGACTGTGCATCCTGTCTTTGGTTCATAATAACATTCTTGGATCACAAAGGGAAGGTGTATTCACATGCGTTTTGGTATTTGGCAATTATTTGTTTCCAAGAGCACACTGAGGGCAGTGCTGCAGTTGGGTGGCTGTCACCCAGGTCTATGACTCAAAGCACCTGCCTGCTGTTCCAGCATGGTGATGGAAAGCATGCCCTTCCCCCAAGTGCAGTGCTATACTCTTCACCTGATGACACGAGGGGAACAACTGGAGCAAGGCCAGGAGAGTCGAGGCAAAAGCCATACTGCATGTTGTTTACACCAAAAAAGTGTGCTTAGTGAAATGCCAACTCAACTGGGCATTTGTGGTTTTTATTTGCTTAATTTGACATTCCTCTCCCAGACTGCCGCACAATTACAACTCGACCACAGGACTTAAGCTTTCTGTGGCCAATGGTCCGCCTCCAGGGACCAGCCCAGAAGTTGGACCTCATGGATGCTAACAAGGCAAGGCAAGGCAATTGTATAAATGGGTCATTAACGTCAAGGCCAGAGGGCTTGCAGAGACTCAGCTCACCCAAAATGTTGAAGACAGAGTCCTTCTACCTGAGGAAGTATATAACTGGTTCTCACAAAATACTAATTCCAACTTATTTTTAGTTCATTGTCAGCTCCCCCCAAAAGAATGAACCCTTGTGTCCTAGAATCCACAAGGAGCACTACTGAAGTCACTGCGTACTTTGCCAAGCAGAACAGCAAACACTGAACTGCACTCTCACCCAGAGGCAATCACGATGCTAGAAGCTGTGTGTCACCAGTGCATAAAGGCCTTCAGGAGAGGAAGGGTCACTTTAGTGGAGTGGCTCTGTTCAAAGCACCACTTCTGGTATGTGATTGTGTGAGGGGTATTGGTGGTAGCAGGGAGTGTCTGGCAATGCAGACCCAGGAAGAGATGAAGCAGGGAGCACACATGGCCAATTCCAAGGTTAGGGGCAAAGGAAATAAATAATACTTAAGGCTTTGGTACAAGCAATTTAGCAACTAAGGTAGTGCCCTTTTGTGTGTGCCGATGACCTCTCTTTCCTGTTAATTAGATGGAGCAGGTCTAGTATGTTGCATGAAGAGAATATTTTCTACCTTGGTGGACATGAGGAATAAAGCATCAGCCTGCATGAACTGAAGTGTTTCTTGGCATTTTTTAAAATTCAAATTATTGGCTTTAACATCTTCAAAACACACGGAATAATTTTCTTTTCTTTCCTTGCTTTCTCTTCCCATTTATTTTTCTCGTCCTTAACTTTTTCATCATTCCATGCAGAGAAGCCCCATTACTCACACTCTCCCACAGCATCAAGTATATTTAAAACCTTGACTGGATTTTCTTTGCCAAGAATAATATTTCATTATAAGTTGCATGATTAACTTTGGGAAACATTTTGGAAAATAGGTAATATAAAATATATTGTACTAAAGAAATTGGCATCCTACACTGAGATGAATTTTTTTTCTTAATGTTAAAAGGACTAAAGCTTTTTGAGTTTACAAGTTCTTATACTCTATCTCCCTATCATCACTCCCCCTCCCCCCCCAAAAAAACCCCAAAACCAAAATAAAACAAAACAGAATCCTGAGAGGCATTCTCTTACCTTTGAAGTTTATAGGAGAGCTTGCAGAGGTTATTATGCCTTCTCTGTTTACCCTTCTGGGAAATGGTGTTTTCATACAAACTGCATTTTAGTGAAATATCCTCCATGGGGAATCATGAAGCTATAACTGACCTCTGTTGAATTACAAAGAGCATTTTTAATGAAATACAGACAGTAGTTTTGGAAACTTTTTTGTATGATCATTTTTTAAAACTGGTCAGTGGGTATGCCCATCTTCACTAAAGGTTTCCAGGGTCCCATTCCCTTCTTCCCAACAGGATCACAGGTGTTTGAATCAGATTTATTATTGGTTGCATTGTATTCAACGTCACAGAGTCAAATTAGACCTGATTTAAACCATCAAGAGTCTCTTTATCCAGGTTAAAAACTCAAAACAAAACTCTGTCTGCTATTACCACTATGGTAGTAACAACAGTGGTTATAGCTCCAGGACTGCTTTGTGGCAGGAACACAATCTTAATCTCACTGAATTTGTACAAGGATGGAGAAACATACTTTCCCAACACTAAAACTGAAACACATTTATACACAGTGATTCACTGATTCCAGCCAACTCTGGCTCAATTTTTTTCTGTCTGGACTTCAAACCTATGAATAGACTGGCCCCTTCCTATCTTCCCAGTCACATAAACCACAAAGCCCACAAAGATCCACCTACTAACCCAGTCATTCATCCAAGAATACTCTTCCTTTCTTCCTCTCATCTAGTTAGAACCTCTCATTTGAAGACAAAGAGGCATAACTAATGCCTTTTGTTCAGGTGTGACAGATCTATCATCAACATCTATTGGTGTGTTCATCTTATGACGCAGCAAGGTGAACTGCTGCTTGTGATGCTGGCATCCCAGGTGCTCCACTTTGACCCAGCTTCCTCCTACTGCACTCTGTCACTCATGAGTGAGACATGAGTAAAGAGTCAGTTTGTGGCTTTAGCCTAGGCCAGCCCTGCCTTTAGTGAGCATTTTGGGAAAGAAACAGAACACGAAGATTCATCTCTGTGTCTTTCACATTTTCTTTTAAATATTTTTGTTCTAAATTCGGCTGTGGTGCAACTTTTTACAATTCTACCTTTGCATTGCTTTCCACTTATTTCACCTCCATTAATATTATTTCTCAACTGTATGTGAAACTTCTTATAGACAGCATCAAGTTCTAACGTGTTGAGGATTATTGTAGAGTTGCTTTATAGGGCAGGTGTGCAGTGTAGCAGGTAAGTTACTCTCTGGGACACCCACATGCTATAAAAGTGTGACCTTCGTTCTGGCTACTCCACTTCCAATTTTGCCTCCTGCTAATGCACCTGGGATCAGCAGGCAATAGCTCAAGTACTTGGATCCCCACCAACATGAAGGACCTGCAGGGAGCTCCTGGTTCTGGTGTGGCCCAGCACTGACTGCTGCATTTGGGCTAGAATCTCTCTCTCAATCTATTTTTCTGTTTCACTGCTTTTCAAATACAATGAAAGTTAAAAAGTGGAAAAAATCTTGCTTTATATAAAGTGTTTGGAAGATGACCTGGCATTCAGTGAGTGCAGATCCAGCACTGACTGCCACGGCCCCTGGTATTAAGCAAAAAAAAAAAAAAAAAGTGTTTTTAAATATTGGCTAATATGAGAAAAAAGATTGCTTCGATGAAACTCTTTCATTTGTAGTGTTTATTCATTAACCAATGGTTCTGAGGCATTTTCTGCCTCCCAAGCACTGTTGTGTTCGAAGGACAGAAGAGAAGGCAACCAAGAGGTCCCTGGCCTCCAGAAGCTGACTTTTTGGTGGTAAAACATAAACTAAAAACAATGTTATAAATAAGCAAAGAGAAAAAAGCTAGTCATGGTTTATGTAGGTTGAATCTCAAAGGAAAAGTTATGTGTTAGAGAAATCAGGGGAAGACTACCAACTTATTTCTGTTGGGATGCAGAAATCAGCAGGATTAACAAATTGATAAAGGACGACAGCAGCCACAGTAAAAGCAAACCACAGAAAGCACCAAAGGGCAGGGGTTAGCCACCAGGCTCTGAGGCCTGACTGCTTCATCCCTCTATGCTTCAGGAGCCATGGGACTACGGACACTTGAAGATTTAGTGGGAGGCTCAAACGAGAGGTATGTGTCACACAAGTTACTGCCTACCACTTAGATAGCACACAGGTGCCTAAGATGAAAAGCACCCTGTTAAGGAGTTTTCTAAGTCTGGTAGCTGACATAAAATTTGAAAAGAATTCGAAAATTAAGTTAGATTAACACACATGGTGGGCAACCTGAAAGGATGAAATATATTAGAAATACAAAATAAGCATTACCAAGGAGTAAATTACTTCACTATAATGATGTAGAAACATTTCAATGAGCTGTTATTTCTAGAATGTAGTCTTCAGCATTTACATAAATCAAAATTTCTCCCAGTTCATTCTTTGCATCATTTAGTAAGCTTCCTGGTACTTCTCCACTTGTTCCTTAGAATAGAGTCATTCCCACATAATTGGCATCAATTTTCCCTTAAAAGAGTCTGATTCTAGTCAGCTCCTTATATTTGCATGCATAAACTCATTGGTTCATTTTTGCAATTACACATATTTGAAATGTCAGGCATTATTCTAGATGACGGATGCACAGCAACAAACCGAGCAATAATCATTCACTGATGGAGCTTGCTTGACAGTAGAGGAGTCACAATCAATGAGAAAATACACATACAAAAATAAATGCATAATATGCTGGCATGTCATGATTACTATGAAAAGTCACATGGTGTAAGGAGAAAATTTCTGTTGGGAAGTGGCATCAGGAGAGCTCTCTCTAATAGGTGAGATCTGAATAAAGACCTGGATTGAGTGACAAGGGCAAGACAAATAGATAGCCCAGGGAATGCCATTCCAGGAGGCAGGGGCATTACTGCTCTTTTCAGAGAGTATCCAGCAGGTGGGTATGACTGGAGCTAAGTGAGGCCTGGGAGAGAGAGAGGGGGACAGGAACAGGACGTGGGATGGTGAGAGGACTGGCTGGCTCTCCTAAGGTTTTCTAGGGGGTGTCTGGGTACTGTTTTGTTTGCTGATGTTGCTGGTTTTACACCTGTTACCTTGGCACAAATATTTTGAAAACTCCTTTCTCCAGTAAAAGTTATGATATAATCCCCTTGTTGTTGAAGCAAGGTGAAGCCTCTGGACTTCACTGAATAAGATGGGAAAGAATGACAGCATTTTCATCCACCTCTGGCAATTAAGGAAACTGCAGGAAGGGTCCGAATAGGCGGTGAAAGCATGGGGTGATGAGCGTCATGGCATTTAGCCCCCAATGCCAACCCTATGCTGTTTGGCATGTTTCTAAGTTTTACTTAAGGACAATCATGTGTCCAAAATATGGGCCCTATTGGCAAACTTACATTTTCTCTGAATACTGACCTCTGTAGATTTTTTATTTTACTTATTTATTTTTACAATTTAACATGTTTAGTGACCTATTTTCCTCAGCTTCTCCAAAGGAACTTTAAAAATTTTACACACATACACACACACATACAGCTCCTTTACAAGTGACTTGGAAAACACAACTTCTTTACAAATGATTAGAAAAACAGCAAAACTTGAGTAAACTTAGACAACATTAAATGTGGTCAAAAAATCCAAGATGTTTGTATTTATTATAATTTCAAGCAATGGTTGATAGAAATGCTTTGTGGGATAATGCCAACAACTCTCCGATTTTTATGGTTTTTTTGTTTGTTTGTTTTGGTTTTTTTTTGTAAATTCTCTTTTGGGAATGATCTGGAACTTTGCCTTTTACTTCAGCCCACATTTACTGACAAAGTAAATATTTATGGATTTAGACTAACTTCTCCCTGAATCATAAAAATCTACATAAAAAGAATTCAAGTCAGAAAAAAATTTTAAATATCTGAAACACTTTCATGTTGAAGTTAATGTTAAAAACTGTAAACCACATGGCTTTACACTGAGCTATGTCTTCGGACCGTAACACAAGCAGAATGCACACCTGATCCAGTTCCTCTTAATACAATGAAATGCCCTAAGGGCTAGCTTCCAGAATACAGGAATGATTTATATGAAAGATCAACATCTCCGTTAACGTGATTCCAGAAAACATCATTTCTTTCCTTTTTTCTTACTGCTGCTGAACACCAATTGAGGCTGAGAATTTTCCATCACAGACTAATTCCCAAGAGACTTGAAGGACAGCACTCATCCCAGCTACTTGGGACACCAAGCAATAAGTGACTTTATGGTTGAGCCATCACTCTCACAAGCAGCTGTACTTCTTTTTTCTTTTTACCAACAAACACATGAAAATAACCCAGTATGAAATTCAATGACACAAAATCATCAGATCCTCTGATGGCATGGGCATCATCTATGAATCTTAGGCAAAAAATATATAAAACACTTTTGAAATTTGAAGGTTTGTTTATTGAGAATTGCTGAGACAAAGAAAATAACGCATGTGTTGTATAGGTGTTTGTGTATGCTCTGCATGATAAACTTTTTCTGTTACACAGAGTGTTACGGTTCATCATTTACACAGGTTATTGGCATCAGTCTAATGATAAACTTTCTTTTAAAACTTAACCGATTTCTTAAAATTTAACTGTAGACCTTTTTGAACTGTGTGTCCTCATGCCAAGTAGGAACACCTCACCCCAAGTTCACTGAGGTGTTCCCCATCGTGTGGGGAAGCTGTGTTTTCTCAGATATCACTCACCTAGGTCATGGAAGCCGGCTGAAAGGCAGTAGTTGTTTTGATGGTCCGGAAGGACAAAGAAGTCACCAACACCTGCAGGAAAAAAGATACCCAGATACACCAGCTTTTTTTGAAAAACAGGAAGCAAGCTGAGAAAAACTCACAGAAACCTGCAACTAAAAAATGGAAACAAAACTAGCAGGTCGCCGGCTGCCTCACCCCACCCAACTCACATCGCCCTAAGCAAACCGGTTTCCTATCACAAATTCCACACTTACAAAAGACAGACTTCAAAAGCAAAGTCCACCAACCGATGCTGTGCAGTCTCGAGTCTGCTTCTGGCATGTCGCAGCTCTGAGCTCCCACAATCCAACACAGCCAGCAGCTTCAGCACACCTGTGCTGACACCCACAGGCTGTTAAGATCCAGGGCCCTTTATGGCCTCCATCCTCATCAAATCCCAGCTGATTTGTAACATTTGTGTATCTACCCAACCTCACTGGCCTCTCCACATTTAGCTTCTCTGTAAAATGAGTTGGAAAACGGAGGCAAGAGAACTGAAACACCTAACCTGAATTCATTATGTAAGCCATACAAGAGCCGGTCACTTCCTTCATAATGTCTTACTCCAGTGGCATAGGGAGTTCTTTTATTCTCCTTGTGTTAAATCACGTTCCCACAGGCCTTCCACTCAGTCCATCCAGACCTCAAAACATCTCCTCCACAGGACTCTGTGAGCCAGAACGTGATGCCAGCATACCTTAACAAAACAACACAGGAGCATAAACTCTGCTTCTATACTCAGGGAGCTCTTGCTGCGGAAGACAAAACACACACCTGAAGCCCTTTAAGGAGAAGGTATGGTTACAGCACCTGGTCAAGTAGATCAACCCCAAATATTTGAGAAGCAGAAGAACTTAAGAGATGTTCCAAAATCCATGAGACCAATCCTACAAGAATGGTTTTGTTCACAGACATCAACTAATGATTGCAACATCACTGCTTTGGGTTGGTGTCCTGATTCATTGTCAATGATGAATTCAAAACCCAGAGATTATAAAACTGAAAAGGAGCTCTTTGGCCTGAAATGTATACTCCAGGGTAATGAAAAATGTGTTTTATTTTAGAGCCCTTCCACCAAATTCTGTTCTATACCTGCACTGCATTTGCAAATCTCACACTAGCACCAGTTCTTGGAGAAATGCCTTCCTTGCATGTGGGTCTTCAGTGCCGACCCATTGTCTTCACCTGGTTAGAGCACACACCTGCCATGGATCCTGGCCCTCAGCATCCCTGACCTGCCCTGATTGATAATCAGAGCTCACCAAGAGCCTGTCTCACACAACTGAATGTGTTACCTGCTGCTGAGCCACAGTCTGGTGATACTGCATTTAAAGGAGTTCTTCACAAGAACTGAGATTTTGTGCTAGCTAGGAGAGCTGATCCTCAATGAAGCAAATGCGAAGTCTCGTCTAATTTCTCCTTGCTTCATATTTGTTTCCCTCGAAAGGATCAAATGGGCTAAAAACAAAACACAACAGGCATTTGATATTTTAGATTGCATATGAATGCGATTTTCTTTTTCAACCAATACTTATCACACACTTCTCATGTGTGAGGCACTAATTTATGCATCAGGGAAGATGGTAATGTGGGGTTCTTGTCCTCAGAGAACCTACTGCCTAAGAGCCTACAGAAAACTGGGCCTATAGGGCCTTGACACTTGCCAGCGACTGCTGGTGATTTTACAAGTTAGGTCATTTAATTACCAGAGAAACATTTCCATTGCCAATTGCATTTTAGGACGATAGCAACCTCGATACATTAAATAATCTACCCCTAAACCACAAGAGCAATGTGAATCAATCAACCTGATGCCCAAACCAAAATTCTTAACACTGGCTGCATAGCATCTCCCAACTCCCATGTTTCCTGTGCCACACTGCCTAAAGTAACTCTAATTCTGAATAAATGTACAACAGCTATAAACATATTTACCAAGGAGGGAAACTAAACCTGCATCACCAGTTGCAGGAATGGCTTTTTCAAGTCCACACGTGTGAATTGTTTTGATCATCAGCCCACTGGTTTGCTACTATGGGAACCTGGGCTTCTGTCTTTAACGTTCATATGTCATTCTGGGTTTGTGTTTTGTCAATCTCACAGGGTGGATCTCATGAAGTATGTGTTTTGTACTTCACATGCAATCACACCACTGTAAATACACTTCACATTTTAAAAGGACACTCTGTAAGTATAGTCCCATAAGCCTTAATAGTCCCTTTTCACAAGCCCTGAACTGTTTATTCATTTTTCCCTTCTCCTATTTTGGTGTCATTCCCCTGCCATTTGCTCTTTTTCCTGTGGTACTTTTTCTTCTGCATTCTACACAGTCTCATCGTATCTCTGTGCTGTGCAATGCTACAATGTGGTACTGGTAGAAGAATAAATATCCTGATCAACAGAAAATAGCCAGCTGAGAAGTGGGCCATGAGACTTAGGAATTCATTCTGTCTTCCGGGATGCCACAGGAACCAGA